CGGGCGCCCCGGCGGGCTCGGGGCAGTGGGGCTGCCGCCAGGCTCGCCTGCACCGCCCCACCCGGGTCACAGGGTCGCACACACGGTGGCCTCCCCGCCATGCGCACCCGGAAAGACGAACGCAGCAGGGCCCAGCTACGCGGAAAATTAACGTAGCGCCTCGACAGCGTGTGTTTACAGGAGGCGGCCCAGGGAAACACAGGCCAGCAACTCCGGCAAGACGCAGAGCACTCCCCGTCACAACTGCAGGGCGCTGCGGCACCGAGGCCCTCTCATGTGTGGCAAAACTCGCCCTGCGAGTGCTGGTGTTACTGTAAATTCGGTCTCAAAAGAACGCTCTGACTTAGTTTGACGCTTTAGCAGGCGGGCACTTTTACTGCAGCGCTGGATGCACGGGGGATCATTCCACCTGACGTGCATGCTGAAAGACAAGGGCACTCATTATATACAATAAAAGACATTGATATTCATGTAATTTTCGAGAAGTACACGCCTATTTCCGGAGAATCCAATGCATACGTCAATACATTGCGCAAGTGTACTAAAATCTGGGGAAGGGTCTCTGAGGGGCTTCCACAGGTGCCTGCTGGTTCATCTGCCCTGTCTGGGATGTGCCCATCGCACCTGCAAAAATTATGTCCTTGGGTGCATTCCTGTCTGAGGCCCCTTAGAGCAGTCGGCACCAACTGCTTGCAGGCATCACAGGGACAGGCATGCTTTGCTTCCTGGCCTGCCCGCTCCTTCACTCTCGGCGCAGTCAACTGCCCTTGCTAACGTGTGGCCTGGGTAAGTGATGGAAATGCACAGAGCAAAATATGCTTCCATGCCATACTATGTGAAGAAAAAAACCTTCCATAAAAAAGGATCATTTTCTTTCTCAGTTAAGGCAGGATTTATTAGATGTAAATAGCAACAGAGAATGAAGGAGAATAAGGCAAAGCCATGTATTATTTAGCAGAACAAGGCTAACATTTCTTTAAAATAAATATTATTCCATTGCTGTACTACTGTTACTTAGTTTTAGAAGTCAGTAACCGACACTGGCAAGCCAGGCTTTTCTGAACGCAAGATAAATTTAATGATAGTATTTTATAATGCACTGAAGTGACACACAGATTATGGTCTGTAAGTCTGCAGTGCAAAATCTGCAGATAGTTTATGAAACCACTTTAAAAATAAGGACTTTGCAGCCTTTGTGTGGCTACACTAGTGATGCACAAAGATACCTGTGTGTTGGCAGTGGGTGTTTAGTTGTAGGACTGTCACCGTGACCAAGAAAAAGCTGCATTTCCCAGGGCCGGTTCTGGTCAGGACTCAGCAGAGGCAGAGCCAAGGGCAGGAAGGGACAGTAGCTCTACCAGTGCTGCTTTTAGACTCTGCTGTGTCTTTCTCGTATTGTATTCTTGTATTTCTTTTCTGTGCCCTGCAGCTAGCTGAGTTCAGGGTCCTGCTGTAGCACACTGCCTAGTCAGACTGCCCTGTTCAGGAACTGATCGGTACCATCTTCAAGCAGTTTATATCGGGTCTGTCTGTACGGTGAAAATGTGAAGTCTGACCCAGGCTCTGAACTGTCCCCATTTTCAGATTTAGTTTATTCACAGGCAAGTCATTTTACTTGTTCCTAATCCAACACCGCTTAGAATTTTAAATAGTTCTTTATCCTTGCTGATTGTTGGCACCTTCTCCATGTATGTATATGAATGCAAATGGATACATGCTTACACAATGTCATACATAAATATATGTATGCATATATTTATAAAGTGGAGTCACATTCCTTCCTAGACAAAAGAAGTCATGCTGTTGCCAGCTCTTCAGGCATGACTCATTTTTGGTTTCCTTTATCATCCTTGGCTTTCCCTGTACTTTTAAACACAGAATACCAAAACTGCAGATAATACTCCACAGTTTGCTCTTTATTTCTGAAGTTTTTGCAGCTGTTAAAAACCGGCTGATTTCTGAAGTTTTGAACAAAATACAAATAATGGTCAGGTGCACCAAAACTGCCAGGGGGATTCCATGAACCAAGGAAGAAAAGGGGAAAAAATTATAATGGAAGATACGTCTCACAGATCAGTTTCACTAGTCTTCAGATTTCAAGCACTGGTGTATTTTGAGGCCTGTTTTGAAAGTTAATAGCTTCACAAGTACTGTGCCGGGATAGATGCCTGTAACTATTTAATTTGCAAGTACAAATCTTGGGCATACAACTCATTTGCTTATTTTCCAGTCTATATATTGCAGGCAAGTTTTATCTGTGTTTCTCTCTTTTTTTCCCTGCAAGTTTTTTCATCATTCAAGAAGAAAAATATAATTATCAGTGTTTTTATTAGATGGTTCTAGTGAAATGGTACTTAGCTGCATGCTTTCTGTATGTAAGAAATCTAAATAGTTTTGATAACAGGAAAAAATCAGCTCACAATAAACAAAAATGTGACACCCTAAATTTAATGTTTGTGAAAAACTGGGAATGTCGACCAATACTTTAAATGTCTGATAAAATAGGTTTAAAATTAAGGCACTGTTTTTACTTGGAAGCATGGCTGAATCAGTAGAACTTGAGCTTAAAAGACAGTGAAGACACTTTTAAGGCTAGTGAAATAATATTAGTGCTTAATCAATATAAGATCAAGTAACTAGCTGGATTACTTCCACAAAATGACATTTGGAAGACGAGAAAACATACAGAATTTGGGGTCAGTGCTATGAGAAACAAGTTGTATGCTAGCTATGGAAGAGTTATCAAGCCTGGGATAAGCCACAAGTTTCAAGTATGGTAATGGTTACTTCATTATGTTTTAATGCCAAGGTGAAGATTTCGCATGGCATCTTACTTTCTTCATTATGTGATTAGGGTGGTTCTGAATTAATGTGGATTAAATGAAACACTTTTCAAAGAAAAGTATCAGAACCAGGAAAAAAGTCATCGTGTTAGATACTTTATGAAAAAAAAAATGGACTGAAAATATTAAGTGTGACATGCCATTTTATTTGACAGTAAATTCTTCCTCTTAACAAATGGCTAACATCTCTATACACAAAAAAGCTGTGTAAAAGTAGGTACTCTTGTGAGGAGAAATGAATTAGAATTGCTGGGTTCTGTAAAGAAGTTCAAGCTCAAATTTTAAAATTCTGAAGAGAACATCAAGCCTCCATAAATTTTGTTCCTGTCAGATTTTCTCTCTGGGTTAAAGCTGTCTGATACTATAAATTACTGTTGATTGCTCATTGTGTATAGTAACACTATGCATCTTTTTGAAAGAGTAGTTTTAAGGACTAGGGTTTACTGAAGTGGAGTTAAGTCTTTCCAATATAAGTAGACAAATCTGACTCATGGGGGTAACTTGTTTTTTCTTCTTCCCTGCATCCTCAGGATGACAGTCTTTTGTGTGATGAAACTTTTATGTCAAGCAACCAGAAATGAAAATAGATACGCAAAAAGATTCTTCAGTACTCTTCTGACAGAAACAGCACAGAAAAGGACCTTTGCTCCATTCTGGAGGGTAGTACCTGACCCTGGAAAGTCAGCTGTGTTGGGACTTACTCAGCTATTTTGTACAGATGAAACATCTCACAAGGAACCTAAAAGGAAAGCAGTATTTGGAAGTGTTGGGCGAAGAATTCCCTATCGGATTTTGCACGTAATCAACCAGGATGGAGAGAGCTTAGGAAACATGCATCGAGCAGAGGCACTCAAACTTATGGATCAACATAACCTGAAACTAGTTCTCCTGCGTGAGAATGCAGAACCTCCTGTATACAGACTAATGACTGGGCAGCAGATTCATGAAGAACAGCTTAAACGGGCAGAGAAGAAAAAAGCAAATCCAAAACCAGGTATGTAGGCTGTTGACACTACAACACTGAGTACTTTGAAAAATCTGTATTAAAAGTGGTTTCAGGAGATTAAATCCTCTTACTTGTATTTGTGTAAATCCAAAGCAACGCCAGTGCAGTCCACGCTATTAAGGATTTGCGGTGGTAAAAATAAAAGTTTGGATTAGTCTAGTCTTCCACAGAGAAGCCTTCTTTTGCTTTCTCAGGATTTACTATTTTGGCATCTGCTGGATTTCTTTTAAAATCTATTTTTGTTTAAGTGAATGTAACTAGACTGGTTCCATGAGACTCACTGAATTTGTTTTTCAGTAAGGCTAAAGTGACAGACAGCTTCTACAAACTGAGCACCAGATAACATAATTATGTCACCAGTCATGAAACATTCTCTTCTTAGCTTGCTGCTAGAAAGGCAAAGTCTGGAGCCCTTTCTTACACAGAATAAGGGAACAGCTTTTTCAGTATTGAACACTTTTCAGCATTTTTTTTGTTAAGTCAGCCTGCTCCAACAGTTTAACTGAGTTTAACAAAGGGATTTTAGAAAAGGCATCTGACCTTGTATCCTTTTTTCTTATCCTCAGGCTAATGAAGGTATCTGTGTTTTGGGTAGAGTTCTGATTTTAGGAGAGCACTATTGTGGTAGTTTTTTTCTGTTCAAGACACTACAAAAAGATTATTCAAGTTTTAACTAGAGACTCTTTAAGGATGAAGAGACTACAGATGGTTCAAATGTATTACAAAGCATAATACTTCTAGCTGAATATTGTATTTCACCATTCAAGGAAATGGTCTTGAGATGAAGAGCTAACTTCAAAGCTTTTACATTCAGCCATACTATGTGCAGAATGCAGGAATTCGCACGCTAAGTCTTTAGTTCCAGATCCAGTGCTTACCTATGTATCTTTATTAGACCTACATTGTGGGTGGAATGAGCAAAACTGTAATTAAAATACTTTAAGCCTTCTGATCCTGTGGAGATGTCCCTGTATGCCTCAAACATGCACTCAGTCTTCCATGATGGTAGTGAGTCTGAGATACCAAGTAGCCACCTTTTAAAAGGAGAGTGGTGCTTGCTAAGACAATGAGATTGGGATGCTCTGTGTATGAGAAGGCAGCATGGGGGAAGGGAGTTAAGCAGACAAAGCACCATAAGCTGTTAAAGAGGGCAACTAATACAGGTTCATCAGATGTTAAACCAACACAGTTCTAGTTCTGTTTTAAACAGGAACGGTTCAGAAGGAGTTATCCTTTTCTTCAGCTATTGCCAAGAATGACTTAGAGACCAAGACTAAACAAATAACACAATGGATTGAAAAGAAATACCATGTTAAAGTTACCATCCGACAAGCAAAAGATAGCAATACGGACATGGTAAGTCAACTCCTGAAAATTGGGCTGATTTCATTATAGGTGTACTTGTGTTAACTTCCCCTATTCAGTTCTGCCATGTTTTTTAAATGACACTCAAATGAGAGGCTAAAATAAGTAAAGGTCTAGGTCCCATGAAAGTAATGGTTGCTTCACCTTAAGATGCATCTGTTCAAACACTGTGGTTCTAAAAAAGTAGTCCCATAGAGACAATTCAAATACCATGCTTTCTTAAGAATGCATTTATAATACTGGCTTTGACAGCAGAGTCTAAGCAGTTCCTATTCCTTTGCAGTACCACCTTATTAAGTGGGGTGGTGAAAATTTCCCTTCTATGATGCCTTAAGCCAGCTCACTCATGGTAAAAGTTTAACAGTAAGGTTAAAAAAAAAATCTGCTGTATTTAAGATAGATATTTCCATAACCTAACTCTTCTCCTGAAGATGCATTTGTGCAACTGTGGCTAAGGCCACTGCTGTGTGAAAAACTACTGGAATGCTGTTCCAAGACTGGCAAAGTAAACATCTATAAAGATGTTAGGGAAGCTGATGGCAACTTCCTCACTAGTGTAATTGCAGGGCCTCGGGACTTGTCTTCATTGTCAGTTGCACAAATGGCTTTTCTATAAAGATTCCATGTAAGTTGTTTTTTTTCTCCTTTTAATGGGTGTAGCAAATTAGGTTTCCTTGATTCTCTCTACCATATTTCTGGGAAAAAAAGTAGTGATACCACTTCATCCAAAAGGAAGAAAACTTTTTATCAGAAAATTCACAGGGAAAGGGTGACAAGAGGAAGAACTGGATATGGGAGGGAAGAGAACATTTCATGATACAGTCGATTTGGGTTATCCTTAAATTTAAAACGTTAATTATAAGCTTCAGAGTTCAGCTTGTTATATATATTGTATCACTCAGCTCAATACTACCACGTTCTACTAACCCTACAACAATACTGCCCCTTAAGAGGAAAGCCCCATAATATGCCCAAATCTAGTGGAAGAGGAGGGTGGGGAGGAGTCACGTGCGGTCCACTTTCACAGACACCTTTAAACAGCAAGCAGGGTAAGTCAGGAATTGGCTCAATCCCTTTGGTAATTTTCCTAAACCTGCTCATAAGTAAAGAACAAATGGTTAGGACAGGACAAGCTGAACTGCTCAAACCAGGACTAGCAACTAGCTCGTTAATAGCTAAACAGCAAGCAGGAGATAGTGTCACTACAGAACAGCCTGAAATATTTTTCTATCTGTGTTTGTACATCTAGTCCTATTTTTCTCTTCCATTTTAGTTCACACTTTTTGATCAGATTTTGGAGATTGTGTCTGAGAAAGCCACTTATGTTTCCAAGCCAAAAATTACTAGAGAAGGAGTGAGTACCTGTATTTTGAGACACATGTCTGACAAAGAGTTGAAAGCATACCAGAATATGGAAAAACAGAAAAACAGTGCAGTAGAAGATGAAAATAGAAGATCTGAAGTCAAATGAGTTGCATCCATGACTTTATGAAGAGGTGTAAACAGTATTAAATTATTATTAAAAAAAAATAAAGCTATTGTTGAGCTTTGTATTGGTCATTCCATGAAGAATGTTGTCTCCGTTAACTTCCACTACAGAGTCAGAATTTGGTATTCCATTTTCCGTGGGCTTATCCATTGCCTTGCTTTCTGTCACAACCACATCCTTTCCTGGCTGCATTTTAGGAGGAATGTAGCCGCTCAGACGAGAGGCTAAGCTCCTCTTAGGACGAGAACGCTTTGCCTGGCAGAAATAAATCCAGAATTAGCAACTTAACGTATCTACAGAGTGAAGACTACTAGTGTGGTGCGGAAAGAAGAAATCAGTGAATAGGCCAGCACTTCATTATTTAAAGGAGCTTCAAAAGTGAAGAATCTCCCAAATTAAGTATATAGCTGGCCTGTTTTCTTGCTTGAAGTCACATTGTAAAACACGTAATGTTTACCCTCCTCTGAAGTGACACAATATGATTTAGAGGACTTTTCAAGAGTGTAACTTACCTTCAAGTTCAGCTTCCTCTTCTCAGGGTCATGTACGACTGTGTGCCTTGCTAGGCTCTGCTACAGTTACAAAGAGCAGTGGGGAAAAAAATTTTAAAAAAGAGTTAGGGAGTTCAGTTTATCATTTCAGATTATGTGATTCAGATGAGGACAGTGTAAAAGTACATACCTTCATTGCAAACGCTTTTCCACAGCCTGGGTAATCACAAGAGAATAGTTTTTTCTCCTCATGAAAAGAGAGGATATGGCTTTGAAGGTTAAATACAGTTGTGTAAGTTCTCCCACATCCTTCTCTCGGGCATCGGCAGACTTCCCTCTCCACAGCATGTGTTTTTTGATGCTGCTTGAGGTAATCTTTCCGTTTAAAAGTTTTGTAACACTCACTGCAAACTATTGGCTCTGAGGAGGATAGAGACAGGTACAGGCAGAGTATAAATGAACAGCTTCTTACAGAAGCTCAGAATCAAACCCTAGCAGTCCTCTAGAACAATGCTAAAATCCACATGAGATGCAAGGAACTCGGAGACTGGAAGAGAATAATGCAGTATGAATTTTCCAGATCTGAAACTCTACATTATATAATATCTCTCGTTAACTGCCTCACAAAGCAAAGTCGGTACACTGAGTAGCATTTTCACCAGTTAAAGGTTAGCTAGAATGACAACCACTTTACAGATAAGTGTTAATAAACAAGTTTGTCTAGACATAATGACAACTTGAAGAGGAGTCCCTGCTGAACACATTTCAAATCAGCAGTTTGTTTCCTATTTGTGTCAAAAGTTAAGTTCTCTTTATTAAAGCCTTTGGAGTTTACCTGGATGACTTTCTTTCTTATGTTTCTGAAGCTCTGTCCAAGTTTTGCCAGTATATGAGCAGTTTTCTTTCTTGCATGCATAGCCTGTTGGACAGGACAGATGTTTACAAGCACAAGGCAAACAGTGATGTTTTACAAGGGGGAGCTCCAATTTTCGTGTTAGAAAATTAAAATGCCAGTATTCCTCCTCTCTTCCCATACTGCATGGTGATGGGACAAGAAGCAACAAACACGAATTAGAACATGAGAAAATCCTGGCATATTGGAGGAAGAAAGCTTCTATCACTGACACAAGTTGTCCAGAGAGGCTGTGGAATCCTGACGCCTGGAAACATTCAGAACTTGACTGGACACAGTCCTCAGCAATCTGGTCTGACTGACCCTGCCTTGAGAGGGGAGTTGGACCACACGACCTCCAGAGGTCTGTTCCAACCTATGGATTTTATTAAACTCTTTCTCATTGCTTCAGTAAAGCTACTTCCTCACCAGCCATACACTTTCACTCAGATGAAAAGAACTGCAAAACTATATATTATTCCTATGTAAGTATTTGTATTACACATTAAAAAAAAAAAAAGATCTTGACCATACAGTAATATTTCAGAGTCAAAAGAGACTACTGTTCTGTCAAGCAGTCAGGACGGTTTTTAAGCAAACTACAGAAAGTCAACACTATTTATATCCCAGGACTGGGAAGGTCAAACAACTTTAAGTCCCTGTCTTAAGAAAGAAACGGGTATGAATCACAGATTTTTGGATACTCTTCCTAGTCCCATGGTGTTTTGGTTTTTTTTTTATCTAGCACTGGAAAGCAGGTTAGCTGTCAATAATAAAGAATGAATAGGAGTGTAGCAGGCTTAGCTCAAACATACATGACCACCTCCTAACAATTCCACTTAAATACCTTTCACGTAGGTACATTAATATGCAAGCCTACCTAGTTTTGCCAAGGCTCCATAAGAAATTTGTGACAGAACTGGCAACTGATCCTAACCTCTGGAGGTCTAGGCCAGTGCCTTGACTGTCAGCCCATCTCCACAAGATGGATTATTGACAAGGAAGCACATTGGGAGAAGAAATGACTGAAGGAATCCTGAGCTCTCTTCAGCGGGCCACAAGTACATTGTAATGGAACACTGCAATGCTTTGCAACTGTAACCCATTTGACTGTTCACAAGGAGTGTTCTTTCTGTCTGTCTGGATCACTAGGCCCAGAATACTTTCATGTCTGTCATACATCCCTGTGTACTCTCTGTACTGGAAGAAGTTTTTCCTTTACTAAAACATAATTGAAGCAAGAAGAAAAACTGTATTACCTTCATGTATCTTCTCATGACGTTTCAGTCGGCTTGGAGTAGAAAAGTACTTTCCACATCCTTCGTTATTACATCTGGGTATAAAATACATTGACTTAACAAAAAATATGCAGATGCAGTGAAATAAATTAAGTCAAGAACAATTAAAGTGGACAAAATAATCCAAGTTTCCCCTTGCCTAGAGATCTGTTCTGTCCATCCCTCCCCACCTTGTAAAATTTCATAATATGTTTCTAACAGAGGACTCTGATTCCCTCAAGAGTTACAACTATAGTTTCCACATTTCCACATATACAGCAAAAATAGATTTCCACATATACAGCAAGTTAAGTTTTAGCTAAAGAATCAAGCCTCATAACATTGCTACACAGTAGGCTCTTCAAACATAAGAGAGAGAAAGTGGAGGGTTTAAGTGGCTTGTACCAATCTAGCAGTCAGAGCACTGACTATTTTTGTGCCTGTCACCCCGCCATACTAGTGCACTTAAGTGAAGTGGAACACTCCTGTTAAGTGCGTTCCACCTGTAAAAAATACAAGACTAAACTTTGCTTTCATCAGATCTATACTGATGTGTCATATTGGAGTTGCAATGCACAGCTTCTTGGACTGGTGTCCAAGCCTCTCGCCTTTTTCAAGCTACCACTCACCTCAACGTTAGCCAAGTCCCTGTTTTTTACAGGTAAACAGAGTTAGCTGCATTTTTTGTTACCATGCAACCTCTTATGCTTGTACTTCAGACTGTGTGAACTAAACACTGGGAAGGGGTTGTTTATTTTTCCTGTGAACCTGTAATAAACCCTAAGAAAATGACTGGAATGCTGAAGTTACAGAGCACCAAGACTGTTGCTCAAAACAGACTACTGTGAGCAAAGGACTAGTACAAGAAATGTATTTGCAGCCATCACTACAAATTCATTCCAGTTTTTAAATGCCACATCAATTAAAAGGTTAAGAAAAAGCACTTGTTTTCATCTACAGTGTTTAAATGAAATTGTTCATTATTAAAATTATCCACCTACTTGAAGGGAGGTTCATTGGTGTGGTGACACTGATGAACTTTAAGTTGTTGATGTTTCCTGAATGACTCGTTACAGCCTTCAAAGTTGCACTATTTAAGAAATTAAGTTATCATCAGAAGCCAAATAATGACAACACAGTCCACACGTGTTTGCTGAAATCCCAATCACAGTATTTGAACTCGTACAAGTACCACATCATAACAAGTTGAAGTATTCACTAGACACACAAGGAGCTTGTTTAGCCTCCACTTTACAGTACCAAAGATAATTTACTCACCACATATTGCTTTTGCCGATATTGATGCTTGCGCTCAGTATGCTTCTTTAAGTTTGATTTTGTTCCAAATTTCTGATTGCATCCATCAGCTGTGCACCTACAAATGAACAGCATTTTCTCATTATCACTCTCAGTGGTTTGTTTCCTAGGCAGATACACAAATCATTGGACAAGAGGAATACATGAAGAATAACCGAAACTCACAACCCAAATATAAAAATTTGATTTAAGGACATAAAAAGCCAGAGGCTAAGTTACAATCAAAAGCCAAAAGAAAACATATCTGAATAAGTTTTTAATAAAGCACGTAGGAACTCCTAGCTCCTAGTCCATGATATTAAGGCATTAGTAATAGGAGATAACCACCCTTCCCCTTTAATTCTGTGTTCTAGAGAGATCTGCTCATTCCTTTAAACATCTACTGTGGATCACTGCCAGATGGGTTTTAGGCTAAAGGAGATTTCCCCACGTCTCACGCTGTCTGCACGCTGTTATGTCAGTACTGGGGACACCAAAGCTAGGCAGGCATGCCCTGTATGACCCACACATCAGTTTTAACTCACTTTCATTTCTATAAGGACAAGTGTAATCCATTTTAAGAAGTAAAAAACTTGGCCTTACTCGAACGGCTTTTCCCCCGTGTGCGTAAGAAGGTGTCGAGCGCGGTGGAAATCTCTCGTGAAACGTTTACCGCAGCCTTCGTAATCGCAAACATACGGTCTCTGGAAGAGAGAGGGTTGTTCAGCGACGATAAGCCACACCTCAGGGGGCTCGGCAGCTTCCCGGAGGCTGCCTTCAGCAGGAGGCCCCGGCGGCGGCTACTTCAGACATAACCCGCGCAGCCCCCCCCGGTGTTCTGGCTGCCCACGAGGTGAAGCAGGCTGCCCGATCCCCCCGAGAGGGACAACGCCGGCAGGAGCAGGGCCAGGGGCAGCCCTGGCCCCGGGGCGCGCAGGGCACCACCCGCCTGCTGGGCCCCTTCACCTCCGTCACACCCCTCCCTCTCCCCCACTCGCCTGCTGACGGGCAGACGCAAGCGGGAACCCCTCGGGGGCAGCCGCTCCCTCGGGCCGCCAGCGCCGCCCGGCCCCGCTCACCTCGCCCGTGTGCCGGCAGAGGTGCGCGTCCAGCCGCCAGGCCTTGGCGAAGGTGGCGTCGCAGTCGGGGAAGGAGCAGATGAAC